TTTTTTTTTTTTTTTTTTTTTTTTTTTTTTTTTTTTTTTTATTCTTTTTTTTTTTTTTTTTTCTGTCCTTTTTTTTTTAATGTATGTCATCATTTGGGTACTGACAGTAATTGTCAAGGGATCCCGTTCTCATTAGTGTCCCCTAGACACAGTTATCTCTGTATGCTCATGCTTTCAAGAAAAGACATAAGCTTTTGCAAGGATTGCTTTGCCTCCTCTTGGAAAGTTTCATGTGTGGTTTCTCTTTTGCCTTGTTATATCTTGGGTACAGCAGGAAGGGAAGATGGGGAAGGAAGGAGCTGCTTCCTCTGAGGGCCGTTATGTTGGCAAAGAGAAGTAACAAAAAGCCCTGCAGCTGTTGGCGACTAAGAGGTCTTAGTGCAGGGCAGTGATGTTCATTGGGTGAAGATGAAGGCTGGGAGAGGATAAGGGAATTCATCTTTAGCAGAGATTATTTGCGAGGGATCAAGGGTATTTGGCTGGATTTTGTATTGACCCAACAAGCTCAGTGACAACTGAAGCATCAGGCAGGTGTGCTGTATGGTTGTGTCCCTCAGTGGAGCCTTCAAATATACTGCACGGATCAGATCCATAGAATCTATAAAATAGTGTGGGTTTTTTTTTTCCATTGTTATATCTCTGATGTTTTATTCGCTTGTTCAATTTGTCTGCATTGGCTGTAGTCCTATGCCTACTGCTGGAGCTGGGTGAGGATGCTACTGCAAGTGCCCTTGCTGCGACAGTGCTCATGTGCTCCTCAAAACCCCGACAGTGACAGTGGGATCCCTCCTCCGAGGTGCTCGAGAGCCTTAGTTTGCACTGAAGTCAAAGGAAATGCAATTTAGAAAGGAGCCCAGCTGTGCTTGCAGAAACGAGTGCCCTCTCTGCGGACTGAACTTGCCTATCAACCCCCCAACATGCTGGCAGCTCAGTGAAACCCCGACCTTGCAGTAGAAAAGGATTATAAAGAAAAGTCTAAGTTATGCTTGTTTTTTTTTCCTAAATCTGCAGGAGTTAGTGGATTGGCAGACCTGTCAGTGGATGGTGGAATTTAGTCCAGAGAAGTTTTAATGACTTGCACAAGTTAATTCAGGCAGCGAGTGACAAAACCTGTTCCCTGGAGCTTTGCGTCACAGCGTACAGTGGCCTGTGCCTCAAGCCAAAGTCTTTAACCATCTTTATCCAATAAAGCATTTAAGGAATATGATCAATGTATTCAATTCAACTTCAGTTCCACCAAAGTAAAGAAAGGGCTTAAGCATTTTGTGGAATTAGAAGAGATCTTGGCCTGTGCCTAAACCTTTAGCTCAAAGCAGGAACTTGATGCTAATGGGGTCGTCAACCTGAGAAAAGAGTTAGAAGTGTTCGGTTTTGTGGTTTCCTAAAAAATGGCTTGTTAGCAATGGAAATTGTGGTGCTCTTAGTGGTAAAGGTGGTTGGGTAAAGGAAAAAGCAAAGGAATAAACTTGTTATTCTTTATTAAATATGACCTTTGCTGTAATTTTGGGCTAAAGTAGCAATTGTGTATGGATTTCTTAAAGAAGGGATCCAACAGAGAGAATAGATGAAGGGCATGATTTTAAAATGAACACAATTCATTTTTTTAAGTAAACAACACAGAGAATAAATGAAGCAAAAAGCGAAGCCGATTTCTGAAAGAGAATAGTTGACTGAGTCCAGGGCAAAGCTGAGGGCTGCACAGCTAAGCTTCTACCTTTTCCTGTCTTTGCACGTCCAAAATAGTGTGTGAGCATTTTGCTTAATTATTTTAAGCTACGGGTCAGGGATTTTTTCCACCTTGCTACTAAGGAGGTTGTTTAACGGACTGGGTTTTACGTAAAGGAAGAGGAATTAGAAAGAAATAACAGAGTGATGTTCTGTTCTGGAGAGCCTACTGGAGCCTACTGCTCCATGAAAGTCTTGAAAGTTGTTCCCATGGAGTATCACGCAAGTGAGTCAGTCAGGGGTTTTCTGTTTCTTGGAGATTTTGGCGGGGTGATTCTTCGGTTGCTTAGTTTCATTTGGCTTTGTGTCACGCATGTATGGAAAATACAGTTTCTAAGGCCTGGAGAAACTGTGATTTTTCCAGGTGTGCTTGTGACCTGTAGAGCATCTTCAAAATGGAGAGCATGTGTAAGGCAAGGGAGGGTATTTGTGCATGAAACGTGATGTAAAAGCTTGGACCACATCTTTCAGTCTCTTTCTCAGGCAAGGCTGCTGCTAGAATCAATAGGAATTTCGTCTAATAAATGAGTGTGATAAACCCTGTTGTCTGCTGATTTGTATTGAAGACACTTCACAAGTGATGATCAAACTTCTTGTTGGTTTAAAATGTGCCTTTAATACAACTGTCTCCTTCCTGCAGTAAGCACGGAAAGTGCAAAAGTTAATATGGGCATATTAATGTGTTCAGGTGAATTATGCTTTCAAGGAGATGAAACACATGAAACTAAGTAATTTATCTTTGCACAGGTTATAGCTGTGAGACAGGGGAATTACACAGGGTCGTTTTTTTCTTGCCATTCTTAGATTTTTTTTTTTTTCACATGCAAAATATGATTTTGGTCTGGTTGTGCAGATTTTGAGCTCTTCCAAGTCCTCCTGTGGGCATTCTCTCCCATCATCAAACGGAGAAATTGTAATTAAAGCCAAGTTTTTCAAAAGTGGCAGGTGGCTCTGAAATGCCTGAATTCTGTGATGATCAACTTTCACATTGCTGAAGACAGACCATTTCCCCCCTTTCCCCAGTGGAAAGATGGGGGGAATGCTCTAAAAGTCACGTCTCATTAGTGTTCTTTCTTGAAACTGAAGCATCCAAAAATTATCATCACTTGTGGAATCTCTAGCCAAGTAATTAGTTGGAATTATTGTCCTTAATTATCAACAGTGGCATGAGGGGGTTTTTGTATTTTTATTTTTATTCAGTATTTTAAATTATTTTTTTTCCTTATAAGAGTACAACCCTTCCTAAACCATAATATGTCATTTGTCTCACAGAGCAGGTTATTTTTTGTTACTAAGTTCTTTTCCCCTGCAAAAGTGTGTGGTTGTTTTGAACTTAGATGTACATCTGGAGATCAGATAGGGTAACAATTTATAGGGTGTGAAAATTTTCAAAAATTTAGTGTCCTTTTGCAGGGAGAAAAACTTTTTGAAGCAGCATTTTAATTTTCGCAACAAAGTGGGCAATTTTGCCACTGCCTTCTCTTTTTGAATTGTGCCAGGGTGCAATAAACAATGTGCTTTAAACTGGAGCTTTCCAGACTGCTTTTCCTTTTTAAAGAGCGTAGGCAACTAATCGGCAGCAACCAGCCGCATAGCTGGAGTGTTTTCCATTCTAGGCAATATCATACTAATTTGATGCACACATGGATGCTTCACACAATCTGCAAATTCATCGCTGGCATTAGCCATCTGACAGATTGCCAAGTGTTTCATATTCCTTTCATGTGACTTTATTACAAAACACACGCACACACACGCGCACTGCCTTATTTCTGCCAGTAGCCAGTTTAGTGAGAATTCACTGCAGTTCTGTTTACAACAGCCATGGAGAGAAATCGGCACTTCTTTGCAACTATCCTCTGCTTTAAAATGCAAAAGTCCTCGTTTGCGTTGTGCTGCTCTCTTCTTATATAATGACATTAAGCAGCAGCCTGCAGAGAAAACCAGACTCAATGAAAAATGTAATCGCATTGTTTTTTCTTCATAATACTTATGCTATTAATTAAATACTGATTTTTTTTTCTTCTGCTTTGTGCCAGTTGACATCATCTTCTGCATCTAGTGCACATGAAAACTGCATAGTCCCCTAACTTGCCTTCTCTTTTTAATCTCCTTTTCCACTTTCTAGTAACGGCACAGCTAACAAGATGAATGGAGCTTTGGATCATTCAGACCAACCAGACCCAGATGCCATTAAGATGTTTGTTGGACAGATTCCCCGTTCATGGTCGGAAAAAGAGTTAAAAGAACTTTTTGAGCCTTATGGAGCTGTCTACCAGATTAATGTTCTCCGAGACAGAAGTCAGAACCCTCCCCAAAGTAAAGGTACAGTAGTTGTGCTCTCTTTGCTTTCAGGTTTTTTTGTTTTGTTTGTTTTTTTTCCCCGAGGATCTTGCTTGCCTTCAGGATTTCCAAAGAGGTTTGCATCTGGGCTGTCTGTTTTGAAGCATACTGTGCTGAGCTATGCACCAGTCCTAAGAGGAGAGGACTCCTGAATACCTATCGATTACTGTCTTCCTCCTCTTAAATTGCAGTTTAAATGTCTGTTATCTGGAAGTGTGCATTCCAACTGTGCAAAAAATAACAAAAGATTGCCGTCCTTGTTTAAATTATTGCTGCCAAGAGACATGGAAACCTGAGCGGTCACTTTCCCAGGATTAGATAATGAAAAATATAATTTTCTACTTCCTTTCGTTTCCTCTCTTTGCACCCCAGGTGGGAATAATTTTCAGGATACAGGAGGGGAGAAAGGATAGTGGCGGGCTCTTGCTACGTCATTGCTCCAGAGACAGTAAAAATTAAAAAACAGTGTCACTGTGCCCTTTTTCCAAAATATGATTTCTTTTCTGTAGTCACATTAAAGGATTGATTTTTGGCACTGGCATTTTTCAGAATGAAAGGGTTGTTTTTCCTTCCTGCATTTTTTTCCATACACATGTAAAGTATTTGTCCTTAACTATATTGCTTTCTCTGTGTATCTGTGCACACTTAGGCATGTGAGAATTCTGTGTATTATAGCTATGCAATTATAACGTATGCTTACATGTAGACTGAAAGTGAATATTTTGTTTCACAGAATGCATTTTTCTCCCTAAATAGCTATATACTTTCCTTTACACTTTGAGTTCTTCAGGTTTGGAATATGAAAGTGTTGCTAGCATTACAACTAATTAGTGCAGCTCAGAGGCATAACTAGATATGCATGTCTGCCTGGCTGTAAGGTTGCTAGATAGTTATTCATTCTTAATGCACTCCTGCCACTGCTTCTAAAAACCTTTAAAGCGCACATGCTATGGAGAATATCATAAAATGATTTTGTGGACTAGCAGCTAACCACCAGTACAAAACAGGACTCGCGTGAGATTTCCAGTTCAGCGAGAGGTGACTGCTGTTGTGCGAGGCACACAGCACAACTTTGGGTGCTCCTGTGCTTTTGTGCATAGGTTCAGCATTTCCTCCCTGCCCCTGGTGCAGGGCAGAGGATCCTCTCAGTGGCCGCCTCTTTGCTGCCCCGATTTAAGCAGTCTTGTGCTTTGAGTGACATCAGTTCATTTTGGGTTGCTTGCATACATCACTTCTGGTTAACAGACTTGGTGCGTTGGTGTCACACCGATGTCAGGGAGGGGGTTCATCTCACCATGCCTTGCCGCTAATCAAGTCTCCATACTAGATTGCTCTTTCCTTTTCCCTTCAGAAGCAGAAGGTTTTTTTGGTTGGAGTACTTCAGTGTAGTTTTGCTTCCAGCTCCCTCCATTCCCCAGGATTGATGTATTGTAGCATGTAGACCCCTGCTCTGTGAGAACAGAGCCCTCACCAAGTGTCTTTTTCTTGTAATGCTGGGTAGAAGACAGCATTAAGAGGTCAAGCAACTGGATTTTCTGCAGTCCAGGCTGCTATGGATGAGCAAACTCCTACTTAGTTTAAACCACTAAAATGCTGAACTTTGAGACTCGTCCATTTAGAAAGAGCTGATTCCCGGCCCACAGAAATGCCTTCCCACTAAGCAGTAAATGAAGTGAGAATGATATTGTGGTTAGACAGAAGAAAGCCATTGATTCCCGTTTCTGTAGTGTTTTCCATTATACTGTACCTGTCTGTCAGGCAGCTGGAAGGCATAAGGATTAACCACAGGTCATGCAAATCGTTGTAGACTAATTATGAAGGCTTGTAGTCCCCATATTCAATATTCTTTTTGAAAGGTGGTTGGGTGTTTTTTTCTTTGCTTGGACTCTTTTCAGCCATGCAGAGACGATGCTTTTATGTCACTTCAGGCATTATATGTTTTAATGAGTAAATGAAATTAATCCGCAAGAAAGACAGACTAACCTTCAGACTTATATTTCCCTGACACAGCAGCAGTCTCCTCTGGTGGTCAGCTTTTCCCTTGGAAGCTTTGGAGGAGTGTATCTCCATGCTGGCTCTAACCTTCCTCCTGGCTGAGTCTGCCAGCAAGGTTGCTAGATATAGAAACCTCTTGAGTTTCTTGTGGATATCTCTTGACTAGGAATGATCTTTATTTTCTTAATCCAGTAGCACAAAGGATTCTATGTGAAAGACTGTTAAGAATGTTAGAAACAAACAAACAAACAAAATTGCTCTGAAAAATGTCTGATAGTCTTGTCATCGTGATGCATGAGAAATCCTTCACCTGTGCTATCTAATTGGTATTTAATAACAAAACTGAGGTTTGGCTTTTTGTTTGGAGGTGTGGTCTAATTTCGTGCTCTCCTTCTGTGTAAACACCCATGCGAAACAACCATTTTTATTTTATTTGAGCTGGGTGGACTGGGGTAATGCCAGGCATTTTCCTGCTCGCTGCCTCTCTGCATGACCTCCAGTTTTGCAGAACAGTGCATCAAGGGGACCTTGTGGTCGGGTGACGCTGGAAAAAGTCCCGTTTTCATTTCATTGTGTGGTCATGGCTGTGTGTCTTGCAGGACATTCACAGGCTGGTATCACCCAGAAATTTTCTCTGAATATTCTGCAAGCTATGAACGGCAACGACAAAAATGCAAGTTAGTGTTACTACACCACGCGGGCAGGTGGCAGTTTGGCTTTATTCTTTGAAGAAAGGCATTTTGATTTTCGAAAGATTTCTCTCTTTTTGGACAAGGGCTGTGCATTTCTGTTAGCTTGGCCAAAGGGGCTTCTCCAGTTTGGACAGAATTTTTCCCTGATGAGCTGTTTATGAAGCTGCAATCTGAGTCTCTCCCGATTCTGTCAAAAATAACCATAGGCTGCTTCTCTCTCCCCTGCTGTTATTAAGACTGTCTTTCATACCCTCCAACGACAGACGGCCTAGTTCATGTCTTTCCTCCTTTTTTGTATTTCTTGCCACCTCTGCAAAGCTGAAGCTGGAGGAAGAGGAGGAAGACAGGTAGAAAGCCAAGTTTTACTCACTTTGGGAAACTAGAAGAAAGCCATCTTACTTCCACAGATATATTGCTGCTAGTGCAAATGTTGAAGCTTGGCTTTATTAATTGGGAACCACGGGAATGTCTGTGTGTCAATGCATGATGGTTGGAATATCCTCTGTCAGTAGGAAACTCCTCGTGCTTCCCAGAGTTTGCAGTTCTGCGGTTCTTTTTGGATGTGTGAAAGAGCTCAGCAAAGAAATTTGACTTTGTGTTTATCCCCTGTTGTTTTGTAAGGCTTTTTCCTCTTTCTGCAACCAGAGAAATCCGGGGGATTAGGTAAACTAAATTAAAAAAAAAAAAAAAAAAAAAAGGCAGGAAATCCTGTAACACTGAAATAAATGGCACTTTCAGCTTCTGGGGACTAAGGGGATTCAAAGTCTAGGCAGATCAGCCCTCTCTGTTCCCAGTCCAGCTTCCTCCCTTTATATAATTTATTCTAGGTGGATAGATGACTTTTTTTCAGAGTAGTTGTTAAAGAGAGCTTCTGTAATACCTCAAATTCAGGAAGGTCTATGCAAAGGCAGTATACGCTGGCACCGAGACCTCTCTTCTTCCCCACTGTTCTCCTAAGCCGGCAAGATTTCCTTGGCTGCTTTTGTTTCAGAGTCCGCGTGCTGAAGCAAGCAGATGGCACAGGGCTACTTTTGCCCTTTGAAATGCAGCAGAAGAGTCCTGGGCCAGATCCACCAAGTCCTTTTGGTACCTTGCCCCTGTTTCGATACCTGTTAGTTCTTGTAGGGATCAAGGTCCCCTAAACCGGCTTTGTAAGCCTGAGCCTGCTTGTGCTACCGTGGGAATCCCGCTGCAGAAAGCAGGGCAGAGGCATCCCTGTAACAACTAACTCCGTGTTTCCTTGTAGCCTTTTACAGACCGTTTATCAGATTAAAGGGAGGCTGCTGAGTGAACAAGGATGTGCTGTAGTTAAAGGCCAGTGTTTATTATTATCCTATTTAACAGGGTAATTTAAGTCTACCGGGAAGCAAGCAGAGGAATCTGATAATGAGGCATTCATCTGCTGCATACAGGAGAGACTCGATGGGCAAGGCATATAGGAGGCAGAAGTTATGTGGCTTGTTTGGGTACTATTTCAGCTACAGTTTAGCCCTTCAAAAATACTTTTGTGTAGGCAGGAGGAACAGTTCCTCCACTCCAGCAGGTCCCTGCTCACAGTGCCCCGTTTTCTGTGCGGTGGGAGAAGAAAAGGGAACTCAGGCAGTCCTGAGTAGAGCTGTGGCGCTTTGCTTGTCACACAAACCCATCCTGACTGTCCTAATCAGCAGCAAAGACGTTAACCAACTGTTCCTTGCCTGCCCTTGCATCACCGCTCAGCTGATTGCATGCTTCTGCTCCTTGAAGCAATTTCAATGCCTTGTGTTTTGCAAAACTATTTTAGATGCTTTTTAAAAGCTCCCTTCAGCCAGAGCTCCAGGAGTCAGGGTTTCTCTACGCATTTTGACTTATTTTGTGTTTTGAATGCTCTCACAGGTCCACATGAACATTGTTTAGCTTTTGAGATCTGTTGAGTTGCATCGTGAGCACGTATGCTGTCGAAACTGCAGGACTTGGGACCACAGCCATTATGCATGTGTGTTTTAGACTAAATTTTAGTGATCACGGCTGACAGAACTGTTACAATTGCAGACTTGAAATCCTTCATGCACTGTATGAAAAAGTGGCTTGCATTCTTTTTTTAGCAGGTGCTTTGTGCACTATATGAAGTTTCACACAACAAAGACTGGCAAAAGCCAGATGTTGCTGTTAGGTACAGGTACAACAGGGAGGGAGAGCAAATGATGAAGCTGAGTTTTCAACTTTCAGTTTCTGACTTTAGCATGCTTAAATTTAAACCTTAAAGAACCTTAATTCTATAATTTCGTATGGCTTGTAAGTAGCATTATAAAATACATT